CCCTCTCTCTCCAATTCTTCACCCCCTCTCTCTCCAATTCTTCACCCTCTCTCTCCAATTCTTCACCCTCTCTCTCCAATTCTTCACCCTCTCTCCATTTCTTCACCCTCTCTCTTTATTTCTTCACCCTCTCTCTCTAATTCTTCACTCATCTTCTCTCTCCCTCCTTAAATCTTCACTCATCCTCTCTGCCTCTAATTCTTCACTCTCTCTCTAATTCTTCACTCTCTCTCTCTCTAATTCTTCACTCAACCTCTCTCTCTCTCCAATTCTTCACTCACTCTCTCTCCATCCATCTCCCTCTATCTCCCTTTCACTCATTCTCTCTATCTCTCTCCCACTCTCGCCCTCTCTCTCACTCACTTTCTCCATCTCCGCCCCCCCCTCTCTTTCACTCACTCTCCATCTCCCACTCTCTTACTGCCTCACTCTCTCTATCTGCCTCGCACTCACACTCGCTATCTCTCTCCCGCTCTCACCCTCTCTCTCGCTCTCACTCACTCTCTCCATCTCCCTCTCTCTCGCCACTCATTTCACGCTCCCATTCTCTCTCCGTCTCTCTCTCTCTCGTCCCCCCGACCACAGGACGTGGAGGCGAACACAATCCACCTGAAGGAACATGGTCAAGATGTTTTAGTACTGGAGAAGTGCCAGCCTGCTGTTAGTCCTGGGCAAGGGCGCTCAGCCGCCAGGTGAGCCTGTCGACGTGTGAGGACAGCGCTCGCACACCCTGCATTTCTGGAGCACCTTGCCCGTCCCCGATGCTTAAGTGGAGGGGGGAGGGTGGGAAGCGCTGCCCTTGGGGCTGGAGAGTTTCGGTGACGGAGAGCGGTTCGACACGCCGGGGTGGTCTTCCTTGGCAGGAGTCTGATCGGAGCAGATGGGTGGGGCGCGTAAGGGAGACGGACAAAACGCTGGGGGCCGTCGAAAGGCAGAAGTGACGCAGGAATGGAGGGAAGCGTGTGATGAAAATGAGAGGCTCGTAAAGTTCCCAAGGTTTATAAAGTCCCCGAGGTGTGCAGCCTGATGACTGGGAGCATTTTTAGAAAGCAGCAACGCGCAACCCAGAAACAGAAAAGGTTAAAAGGAAGGCGCTTTTCACCCTGGACAGAGGCATCAGTGACCGGGGAGGGGTGGGGGGGAGGGTGGTTGAGGGAGTGGGACATAGATTGAAGGTGAGGGGGCAGGAGGTGTAGGGGGGTGTGCGAGGGTTTGTTTTTCAACCAGAGGGTGGTGGGGAATCTGGAACCCGCTGCCCGTGAGGAACATTGAGGAAGTGTTTAGATGGGCTCTGGGGACGCCGAGGCTATGGGGCCAAGAGCTGGGAAATGGGCACTTCACACCCGTGCGTGCATAGTAAGATCCCACAGGTGGAAAAGAGAGCACTCGCTAAAGCTGGTTAGACCCGCCCTCTCTCTCTCTCTTACCCCCGATCCCTCCACCTTCGCAACAGGTACCTCGTGATGTCTGGAACACCGGAGAAGATTCTGGAATACCTCCTGGACACCGTCAGTTTGGACACATTGTACAGCGACCCCACAGGTAACGCAAGTCCGTTCGGCCCGGCCCATCCGTGCTAGCCCTCCCCCGTGAAAGTGCCAGCGGCAGCAGCAGAGAGGGAATGAGGGAGACGGGCAGAGAGCGGCGAGGGAGGGAGACAGGAGGAGGGAGGGAATGGCGGAGAGGGAGAGAGAGGGCGGGAGTGGGGGAGCAGGGAAGAGGGCAGGACTGAGGGAGTCGGGGAAATTCCCAACTTTCTTTTGCCTCTTACAGATACGTTCCTGGGGGACTTCCTCCTCATGCGCAGTATCTTCATGCCAACCACCCAGTTCCACAAAGCCCTGCTCAACTAATATCCTTCACCATCGGAGGGTCAGGGCCGAGGGAGCGGGGCGCTGTCGGAGGGTCAGGGCCGAGGGAGCGGGGCGCTGTCGGACGGTCAGGGCCGAGGGAGCGGGGCGCTGTCGGAGGGTCAGGGCCGAGGGAGCGGGGCGCTGTCGGACGGTCAGGGCCGAGGGAGCGGGCGCTGTCGGACGGTCAGGGCCGAGGGAGC